TCACTTTCAGAGCCTTAGCTCCTTCCCATCTTTTCTCTCCCTGCCCTGTACTATCCCAAGGGGTTAGAACACCGTTATCTGAAGGAATCCGGGACAGAAGAGACCCAGGCCACTATCAAACCTAGCCTTCAGGAGGTTAGTGCCCGCTGTTTACTACCACCCTGCTCCAGCACATTTAAGCAGTCTGATCAATGTGGTTGCTTTTGCCTCTCAAGAAAATAACGTCAGCACCTAATACAAAAATTTCTTGCCAAGATATACCCAAGACATTGATTTTTCTTTCCCCAACTTCCTCCTATCCCCCTTCCCAGTAACAGAAACCAGTATCATTTTATAGCAAGTAAAACCATCACATAAAAGCACATTCAGTCCACCTACAGCAATGAAAAATGCTTTCAGTGATTTAGTTTGAGAACACATCTTTAGGCGAACACTCACATCGATTTCCATGTGTCTGAATCTGCAGATATTCCTGAAACAGCGACCCTCCTGCCAGAGTGTGCAGACTGTTTCATTGCCCAGAGCAGCTTCACAGTGGCGGAAGGAACAGCTGTCTCCCTGTAACCAGAAGGAAATCAACAAAAAGGAAAATAAAATAGTACAGCCTAAAAAAAAAGTCCATGCTATCAGAAATGGAAGCAGAATCTAACTGCCTATTAAGTTACCAGAAATCTGTGTGTCTCCTCCTGCTCTTCCCCCTCCTCTCTTAAAAACTAAAAAGGGAAAAAAAAACCCAAAGCAAAAGAAACCCAAACATACCTTGTTACATGTGGAATAGAAATAGAAGTAGCAGTCATCTCCTTGGTTAGACATAATGGACAAATTCTTAGAACAAGCTCAGGTTCTAAGGGTTCACTCAACAGGGACTTCCTCCACTCTTGGCAAGAGCTGGCTTCACTCTTTCTTGGACTGAAAGTCTTCTACTGGCTTGGTCAGTGAAATCTTCTTTTTAAAAGTAACCCTGAAGAAAGGTGTAAGTGAAAAATAGTTAAGTAATAAGCATTTTTACAGCCACTTTCTGTTAGTCAAATTAGTCTCGAGGGGGGCAATGTCTTGAAATCAGCTGGTCACAAAAACTATCCTAATGCCAAGTCAAACTTCTGTAAAACTGCATGGGTTTTGTCAGCAAGCATTCTCTTCTGTGCCCTTAGTAATAGTTATAAGCCTTGGAGTACAGAAAAAACTACTGCGTGTGGCTGTAAGCCCCACAAGAGGAGAGTCACTTCTTAAAAAATTGGTCATACATTTGAGTTATCAGTCAATGACTAACTGCAGGTACTAAAAATTTCTATAAAATACACTGACATATTAAACATTATTTTCCAATCACCACAGATCTTCAAGTTCACATACCTGGACAACTTCAGCAAAGATATTGATCTTCAAAGACTTCCAGTTAACTTCTCCTGTAGGCCGAACCAACACTGAATCCGTGAATTAATAATAAAGGGGTAGAAAGAATTTTCCTCCTCACATTGCCAAGGGAACCTCTCATCCACAATTCAAACATAGGATGTGCTTTTAAACATCTTACAACTAATGGAGGAAGCAAGTCCATTTGAATACTGTCAGACTGGAGACAGCCAGGGTTAGTTAGCTCTTCAAAAAAAAAAAAAAAAAAAAACCAAAAAACCAACAAAAAAAACCCAGTGCATTTAAAGATGAACTTGTGATTCAAAGTGGCTGCAAAAATGAGGATCCATCTTCCACAGCCGGGCAATTTTAATTTTTTTTTTTTTTTTTAAATTTAAAATTCAGTAAGTTGCAATTTCTGGTCTTCAAGATCTCTTCACCTATTAAGAAAACACAAAAACCTTCCCCCATCTTTATTACCTGTACATCAAAAACATACTTGTGCGTATAAATACACAAATATGTATATACATACACATATGTGTTTATACACACACCAAGAGTGAGCAATAATAAAGTCAGCAAGAGTGAAAGTAAAAATTAGAAATTTTTGGCTATTTGCCACATAAGACTGCATAAAAAGTCTCTCATTTTGAGGGAATTGGCAAAAATGAAAGATCTACATAATATTTTGATGGATATGCCTTCGTGGCTGATGCTTTAAAACATGAGTGATTTGGGGGCCAGCACACAAATATGCATACGTATGAACATGCATACAGTATAAACATATCTATACACACAAGCGTGCACAGTATATGTTGTACGATATCCGTATCGAGAACAACTTTTAGCCCTGATCAGACACGTAGAGTTGCAATCAATTAACAGCAGGAAGACAGCAGATCAAGGGTACAGCAAGCTTTGAGAGGAAGGGAAATGCTCACTTTGCAAGTGGCATGGCTGCATGATACCAAGAATTTTGAATTATTTTGATTGTAGGACATAATTTGTTTTCTTTTTACATCAGAACAAATACTAGAAGTTTGCCATCACATGCTGTTCCCTAATCCATACAGCCATCGTTATCCGTTGCTGCGAGATCACAGAAGGTTTGAAAAGATGGCTTAGGTCCAATTCAACAGCTGATGATTTTTTGGTGCCACCAGAGCTGAAACTGATTTTATTTAGCCACAAGCAGTTTTGTTTTGTTTTTTTTTTTTATGTGAAGTCAGATACTTTGATTCTTATTTTTTTAAATATACTAAATGCCATAAAACCTGCAACCAGACCAGATAAAGTTCAAATTAAAGTGATTCTGAGCCCTTTCATTAAAATGCTGCACATTTCTGTGCAAAAGTATTTCTGTTTTGGACAAAACTGAATGAAATAGTTCTTACAAATTAATAATAAAAGGTTGGAACCTTTTACTCACACAAACACTAGTGAATTTTCCAGGGTATTTTTTTTTGGCAGGGAATTTTCCCAAATCTAAAATAAAGAGAGGAAAAGTTGGGTTCTCATATTAGTTATTGTTTTTTTGACTGCTTGACAAAGGGAATAAAAGCAGTAGTTAAGTGCAAGGTTTTCTTCCCTTCTTCAGTATCGGTGTGACTATTCACTTTTGACCTTTAGCACCTTCAAAAACAGACTTTGTGTCATACAGATTCCTATGCATCTACTTCTAAAATTACTGGTACTCCTTCAGGTAGAAGTTTGACAAGAAACATTTTCCCGTATGTGTTACCAATACCATCGATAGTTAAATTAAATTGCAAGCACGATTTTTTTTTCAGTTTGCACAAGCTTAAATAGATGGCAATTAAGGACCACTGCTTTGCTAAGCAGAGGCATTCAAATACAAATCAGAAGGAATTCATGGTCCAGAAGGCAGCACTTCTTTTCCCTAGGAAGTGAGACACACCTGTATAATGCAACATCACTATATCCAC